TAAAACATTATCCTAGCTAATTGTCAGCAACAATAGGTGCTACAATCATATAGTGTTTTGAATGCTAAGGATTTTCTACTCTTCATATTACAGCTCAAGGGTTATGTATGTTAACTATGGCAGTGCCAAAGAGGCTTTTTCAAGAGGCAACTGAACTTTCTGTTTTTTCTTCGAAGATTTTTCGCTTCTCATCCAAGAAGCTTTTTCAGCTCTTCCAGAAGAAGAAGAAGAAGCTTCTTGGATGAGAAGCGAAAAATCTTCAAAGAAAAACAAGAAAGTCCAGTTGCCTCTTGAAAAAGCCTCTTTGGGCCTGCCATAGTTAACATACATAACCCTTGAGCTGTAATATGAAGAGTAGAAAATCCTTAGCATTCAAAACACTATATGATTGTAGCACCTATTGTTGCTGACAATTAGCTAGGATAATGTTTTATCCTTAGTCTGGATGCAGAGAATGACATAACAAGGAGTGTTACCTAATTACACAGAAATCAACTACACAGTAATGCAAAATTTAGGAAAAGTGCCTGACTGCAGTGACATCTTGTTAGAAACGAAGAGGACAGTTTGTCTTAAGCTTCTAGTGTAATGTGGTCTCATGTCAATCAGTAATACTAAATCCATATATTGATGAAGCCATTAGAAGCTGTATAAGTGGTTACCTTGGCTATAGCAACCCTTTTGCATGTGTATTTCCCAGGAAAATTACTTAGAGATCAATACAATAAACTGCCATGAATCCTTGTTTAAATAGAAAAAAGAGGAGAAAAGATCTATAAATAAATAATGATTGTTGTGACTAACTACAAATCCCACTGAATTCAGAAATATTTAATTGTGACTACCAACCTATAATATATCCAATCCCCTGTTTATTTACTTTATGGCACCAATATCATATTCACTATTTTCCTGCAATAGTGTCATTAACTTGGGCTAAATTCCAATACGAACAATATAGAATATCTTTTTCACATAATATTTTTGTTACTCTGCTATATTTGCCACTTATTTTCTGCTGTACTACATAGCGGAGTGTTGATACTGCCCAACTAAACATCAATATCAATGAATTTTCTAAATTGACTTATTTAATGAGTGTTTACCTATTACAGGATTCCTCTAAAGATGAAACTAAAAAAATTAATAGAAAAAAACCACTGAGGAAATAACTGAAATATATGAAAGAAGGATGGATGCTTTCTTAAATGAACTGCTGAAAGTATCTACTTTAGTCTTTTTTTGATAAATTTCATTTACTAAAACAAGCTAGTGAAATATTATTCAAAAGAGGCTGAGTCTCTTACTTAAGTCAAATACATAAATTTATTTAGTGTAAAAGCTGATCCATATCAGTACTAAATGACAATTTGGCAACTTCAGTATATTAATCTCTTTGTGCGTCAATACCTTGCAAATTGTGTGACATTCTCTAGATGTGGGGGCAGCGGGAGAGAGCGAGTTGTATAGTATTTAAGTTTTAGGAAAGTTTCATCTGAACCCAGAAAATTCCATCCGGAAAAAATGGTTTGTGCATTGCAGTCTGTGCATCTGTTGGTTAATTATTTTTTTGTTCAAAACTTGAGAAGGAAAAAAAGCAACACATCATTGCTGTTTGTTTACAATGTTTTGCTCTGCAAGTATAGCAATTGCGTTTAGTTATTATACCAATTGGAAGATTTCTCTGCTAGGCCTGGGGTTTGGAAGGAAAACTCCCTTCGTGTCCTTGGTTTTGTGTGCCTAATTTTAAGAACTGTTGCTTTTTTTTTCTTGTAATCATTCCATTAACTTAAACACCTGTTTCCGGACTATGTTGTAATTTAGGTTTATTTCCCCTTGCAGCCCAAACCCCAAAGCGCTCCACCGACACAAGCCACATTGAGGACCAGAGCCTTAAGCAAGGAACTTGCCTGCGTCAAACTAACCCAGGGGCAAGTTTCCTGACAATAGAGAGTCAACTTTTACTTTGAGGTATGACAGAATGACTCTTGACACATTTCTCACGAATTCAATTGCATCCCAAGAAGAATATCAAAACTACCAGCTGGTGTCTTACGGCATTTTTTTTTAAAATTAGTATTGCTACCTAAAAGAAAGATTCTTCAATGCAAGATTTGTATTTCTTTTATTTTTGAAAAAAGCAGAATGTTATGGGGTATGTTTTACATACTTTGGAGAAAGTTCGAAGTGAGGCATTTTTAATGCATCCCAAGAGGTTTCGGTAACAAAACTTGATGCATATTTGCAATGTCAATTGCCTCTAACCACTTGCATAAGTTCTGCATAATCTTCTCTGCAAGCTAACATGACTGAGGATGGGCTAACACCTACATGGGTGACCTCTTACAAATCTAGCATATATCATAAGTAGCCCTCCGATTTATGAACATTCTTATTTTTTTAACTGCCAAGGTGCTAAATGTTGAGATTAATGTTGATGTATTTCCCTTGTGATCATATATTTCCCTTGTGGTCAAGGAGAGAAGCAACCTAGAAGTAAGGAGAAATTTCCTGACAGGGAGGACAATAAAGCAGTGGAACAACTTGTCTTCATAAGTTGTAGGTGCTCCATCACTGGAGGTTTTCAAGAAGATATTGGACAGCCATTTGTCCAGAATGGTGTAGGTCTCCTGCCGGAGCAGGGGGTTGAACTAGAAGACCTCCAAGGTCCCTTCCAACTCTGTTATTCTGTTAGTCTTTTAACAGTAAAAAGTTCTTAGTTTTTTCCCCTAAATCCACTCCACTTCAGATCGTTCAAGTGATCTTCCTAAGTGCATGCAAAATGCACGAGCATAAACGTTTGTGCAAAAAGCTGTTCATTTTTGGATTTTCTAGTTTGCCATTTTCTCCCTTGTGTTCCATCAGAATACAAAACTGTCATGACTACATGACAAGTAAATAATATTTCATACTATGTATGTAACATTAGTATGTTGCAGAATTTCCTATTCCAAGACTCTTATTAAATACTACTCATCAGTTATTCTCTTTATTTAGCATTCATTAGTTGCACACAGACACATAGGAAATCCCAACGACCAAAGTTTTATTGTTTTGTTCAAAGAAGAAGAAGAAAAATCTCACTATTTCATAGGTCACTCAGAATCATTTAGCCCATGTGCCAACTCTGTCCAAAATGTTTAGCCCGGTATACATTGTTCCATAAACAAATAGCATACTCATGCTTCTTAAATGCTTTTTTAGTGCTTATCATGATAGGTCCAAACATTCTCAAAAGCTAACTCTGATTTCCACTTTTTTATTTTTTTTGCATTGTATCTCTACATTTTAATTGACTGCAGTTTCTTTTTTTAGAAAAATGAACTCAGTCACACTGTATTGAATGAAAGCAAAAGCAATCTTCCGTTTGTAGAATGTATGGAAATATTTGCAACCCTCTTGGAACAAAGTCAAAATGTGAAACATTGCTGTAAGAGGGTACCTTTCTAATGTATTTGTATGTATAATTTACACCTCTGTGAGGTTGAATAAATAATAATGGTTAATAAATATCTCTGTCTCAGCATCTTCTGTTCCCTATCACTCTTGATCTCTTTACTTGTAACCTGGTTGCTTTAAAACATACTGCACTTGGGGTATTTCTGGCTTCCCATCAGCCTGAGCCAAGACTATGATTTTATTGCAAATCAGTCTTCCCTAATCTGATATTCTCCAGATCTATTAGACAACAATTCTTAGAAATCCTTCATTCAAGATGATGGAAAAGCACAGGGTCATGGGAAATGTGACATAATTTAGATCTCATAGCTTTTGGCTATTGGTGAGAGGAAGGACAGCTTCTGGGACACACCAAACTTGTGATTGTTGAGTATGATGCTTCCTATCCTTTCTAATCAAAAGTTGCAGATAAACATAATAATGTATGGTTTTTATGATAGGAACAGAAATAGCAATAGCACTTAGACTTATATTCTGCTTCACAGTGCTTTACAGCCCTCACTAAGCCGTTTACAGAGTCAGCATATTGCCCCCAAGAATTTGGGTCCTCATTTTACCGACCTCAGAAGGATGGAAGGCTGAGTCAATCTTGAGCTGGGTGAGATTTGAACTACCAAATGGCAGACAGCCGGCAGGCAGCAGAAGTAGCCTGCAGTACTGCACTCTAACCACTGTGCCACCACAGCTCATGTAAGCTCTAAAATAGCACAGAATTCTTCTTAAACACTATTGTTCCAATGACACCACCTTAATCTGCTCAGTTTTACCATTTCTGGAAGCAAAAACTGATGACATGCAACTGTTATTATGTCAGCACAATTTCATCTTCCACTAAGGTTGTATTTATACTCACTGGGGATTGGAATTTAGAAAAAGTTAGTTGTGCAGTTGAAGCAGTGACCAGCAGTGACTTGAAATTAATTCAAACAAGGCCTAATCTGAGGCCAATTTCTCCTAAGGATCAGAACACATTATTCTTTGTAAAAGCAGATTCAAATGGTTGAATGCCAACAGAATAACAGTCAAAACAGAGGCCCTCAGAAGTATCATCATGCTTTAGGAAAATCCAAGGTTTGCAGAAATACAACACATTTTCAACGGGGGGGGGGGGGAGCCTAATGTGATTTTAAAAATTAAAATATATTCCCAATTTTTTAAGATAACATTTTTCAAATTGTAAAACATATAAAAAAGATAATGGTTTCCCCTGTACAGTTGTGTCCGACTCTGGAGGGCAGTTACCTTTCCACTGAAGTGATATCTATTAATCTATTTGCATTTACATTTACATGCTTTTGAACTGCTAGGTTGGCAGGAGCTGGGACAATAACAGGAGCTCACCCCATCATGCAATGCTCAGGTCTTGAACCTGGGCTGTCAGCTTTCCATTTGACAAGCTCAGCCACTGAGCCATTGCACTCCCATTTACTATTGGGTCTGTGGGTGTGGCTTGGTGGGCATGGCAAGGGACGGACACCGCAAAATTCCCATTTCCTCCCCACTCCTGGGGGAAGGATATTGCAAAATCTCCATTCCCACGCCACTCTGGGGCCAGCCAGAGGTGGTATTTGCCGGTTCTCCAAACTACTGTATTTTTCAAAGTATAAGACACACCAGAGTATAAGACACCAAGTGGCAAATTAAAAAAAAAAAGTTTTGCACTCTGCAGACCACCCCAAAAGACCAGTTTTTTGCAAAAATTGGCCCATGGCCTTTAGGAGGCTTATAGAGTGCTCCTAGGGGCTGGGGGGGAGCATAAATGAGCAAAAAATGGCCCGTTTCTTGTCAAAAAAGGGGGGCATTTTTGTCAAAAAAAAGGGCATGGGTAACCTTTAGGAGGTTTGTAGATGCTCCTAGGGGCTGGAGGGGGGAAAATGGTGCCCATTTTTCACTCATTTATTCCCTCCCCGGTCCCCAGGAGCACTATGCACAGCCATTTTGGTGAAGGGGCGGAGTTTCAGGAGGCCAAAAATGCTGTATTTAGTGTATAAGACACCCAGATTTTCACCCTCTTTTTTGAGGGTAAAATGTACGTCTTATACTCCGAAAAATACGTTACTCAAAATTTCCGGTATTGGTACTCCAGAACCTGTCAAAACCTGCTGATTTTCACCCCTGGAATTATCTCAATTCCTATTTTGTTCTTTACTAAAATTTGGCTAGAAGCTCCTAATTTATTAATCATTGTGGTTAATGAAGAATTGGTGAATCTTCTCTTAAAAACCATTTTTTTCTCATATAAACCATATCAGCAAAGCAGGAGGGCTTTATGAGTTTCACAAGTGGGTTAGCTGTGTTCCACATTTTTAATTCAGCAGAACAGATGTTCAGGGTGATAGCTTACAAGAGCAATCTGATTCAATCCATGCTGAGATGTACAAAATCATGTATGAGAGACAGACAGAATTAAATATCCTTAGTATACTGATAGTACATACTTCAACTCTTTGGAAAACTGCCTCTATATGCAATCTAGGACTTTGGAGAGGAGGAACAATAAAGCATCACGAGATCAAATAAAAGTCACAGAGGAAGGTAAATATACGTGTCCCAGGATAATATTGCAAGAATGCAACATTCCAAATAGAACTTTTCTACTTCTGAAGATGATGCTTGTAGATGGGAATGGAACCACCACATATCATGCCCTATTCCTAACTCAGAGACTTATTCTAGCAATATTGCATGGTGATCAATGGTATACAAGCATGAACATCTGGGCTATGATCCTATTTATACATCCTCAGAGTTGTACCCAGGCCACTTGTTGCAGTACTATATTAGCTCCTTTGTGAAGGTAAGTAAAAGGGAGGTAAATTGACTGGAATTTGCTTCCAGAAAAGGCATTCACCACATTTCTCACCAGTAAAGATAATTAGTTCGGACAAACAAAGCTATTACATCTGCAACAATATCCAGGACTTTAGTGTTATATCCAGCCTAAAGATGACCAGCTTCTTGCAGCTCTACTTTCTCTTTTCCGTAGAAATATTTGCAACCTTTAATTGGTTGCCCAGAAGCCCAGCATCTTCTAAGGCAGGAGTGTCAAACTCGATTTCATCAGGGTTGTGTTTGACCTCTGGAGGCCAGGGTGGGCGTGGCCAGGTGGATGTGGCCTGCTCAACATCACTCATGTCAGGGGCACCTGTGAAGGCCTGAGCCATCTTCAGACAACTCAGGGGTGGGCATGGCCAGGTGGGTGTGGCCTACTCAATGTCACTCGTGTCAGGGGCACCTGTGGTGGCTCGAGCGCTCTGCCAGTGAGCTCCGTTCTCGACTGCAACGACCTCCTAAAACTCTGCCAGTGAAAACGGAGCTAGGGAGGGCCACACGCAGCCATCCCAAGCTCAATTTTTCAATGGAAGAGTCACTGCAGGCTGGTCCTTCACTGCTTTTAGGGCAGCCCCGCAGCCAGATCCAGCCTCCGGGCCTTGAGTTTTACATCCCTGTTCTAAGGTGTTTGTTTCTCGTTTTTTTTCAAGAGTGGTCATACCGTCATCACTTTCAAACTGATTGGCATAATTCCTTCACCTAAGTAAGTATGGCAGTCTTCCAAAACATATCCAATTAGGCATGATTGCTTAACAACAAGCCTGGGTAAAGGTCTAGAAAAGAGATAATTCATTTAATCCCCACATGCAACATGTCTACTTCCTTGGGTGGCAACTCTGAAAATGATCCTACTAGAATCCCCTAAATTGAATAGATTTTCCAGCAATTGTGATGACTAACTTGGAGTAGATGTGAGCAACTTCATTCTCAAAGTATCTTATAATTGTATTATACAACTCCCAAGAAAGCCTTGCTGGAGAGTTCACTTGGGTTCAGTAATATCAGAAAAGTAAGCCCTCGTCATCATCACCATGTAAATAAAGTTGTAAGTTCTGCTTCATGTTTGGTCATATTGGCTGCATGATTTGAACTCCCCTTGTCCAGCTTCTTTGCCCAGAATTCTTTGACAAATGGAAAAGCATTTCACATTTTACATAATTGTAGAAAACACCCAGAAGCTAAAGTGTTAGTGACCCTACTCATCTTGGTGTAACACAATGATTCATCATATTCTCCAGTTTCCCATAGGAAA